TCGGCGCTCTTGGTGACGGAGAGGTGTGAGAGCGCTCTGCACTTTTGCTGCTTCACAAATTCCGGTTTATAAGTCTCCCTATCGTAAAAACTGCGATTTCTTGTGGAACCGGAGCAAGCTCGTCGAGCCACCATGGTAAATGATATTTATGGTTTTCATCGCTTCCAAAGATTGACAGGTGAACCTCAAACTTTGTCTAGTACCATTTCGAGCTACAAAATTTCCCAGATCCCGATTTTATGGCTCTACACGTCGATGAGAACACGCAAAATCACCTCCCCCGTCGCCGAACTGCGCCCGGAAATAGTATTCAGTGATGCATATCTTCTCTAGCTAGCATTCTTCAGCAGCACTCGCTCAGAGGTAGTTTCCAAGGAAAAATACAGGTCAGGAAGACTTAAAAATTACCGGCCGGGGAGGCACAGGTGGAGATGGAGTCGAGACAGGTGAAGAACTGTACTGACTTCCTGCATCCGGCTGAGGCGGAGAAGGCATACATAATGGTGGAAGCAGCTGCTCCGAGGAAAGCTTAATTCTAGTCGTAATACAAATGGTCAAGCGATGTCACTGAAAGACAAAAGGGGCAACCATAGGGTTGCCATTTGTGAGCTATCAAAGTAGTTATAGGGATATGTAATGGGCTACAATGAAAGTGAGAACGTTGAAGTAGACTAGTCAGGTAGGTCGTGACGCCCCAAACCTCCACATATGTCCAGAGAGAATCAAGTATAAGGCAGCCCTCTCTAGCTTTGGAACCATACGAGCTGCTGTTTGTTACGAGGAAATCGGTTAGCGAGCCGTTGGAAGGGTTAATAGTATTGTGACTCAGGGAGCGACCAAAACCGAGGAACGAAATTAAAAAAAAATTAAATTGGCATTGACATCCCCAAAAACATTTACTAACATCGAAAATACATTTCAAGTTATTAAAATAACTTACCTTCCATCCCGGTGCTGGTGGAGGCGGCCGATTTGGTCGTGGCTTTGGCGGTGGCGGGCATGAAGGTGGTGGGGGAGGAAGCACCGTTGGTGGAGGAGGGCGTAAGGATGGTGAGCCAATGCACGGACTTGGCGGAGGAGGCCGTGGAGGTGGTGGTGCCGTCCGATGCGGCGATGCAGTACGAGAATCATATCGAGGGGTGCTACCATCACCAGAAGTGCCTGAATGTTGTTCGGGAATAACGGCAAGAAATGAAACAGTGTAGAAGTGCCATTACTATGAGCTCTGTCCTATAAAAACGAAGTATGACCCACTTTCAACGGATGAGCAAATAGAATCCGATCGTAATTCAGAATTGATGATGGCAATGGGGTTGCTATCATTAAGCTCTTTCTGACGGGACAGTAGAGGACTCACTGTCGTCTCACCACCAACCTGAAATTTTTCAAATACTTCTGCCAATGAATTATTAGCATTTCAGCAGCTCATTCTGGTCAGGATGTAGTACTGTGAGCTAGCAAAGAAAGCACTTGGACACATTAATATATTCCATGATTTATACGTATCCTTGGGATCGTCATAGAGGATATTTCCTATTTGGTTTGTCGCACCTATGATCCTTTGGCTAGCTAGACTCATAATCAAGAGATAAATCGAGAGCAGGAGATAAGAAGAAAAGTTTGGATGCGCTACATTAACCAGCATAGTCTTTTTCGGATAGCCTCTGAGGTTAATCACATATATCTGGCTATGGTGCTTCTGGACACGAATCTAATGTACCCCTCTAGTGGATGTACGATTATCCGAAGGTGAAAAGATGTACTAATTCGTACCACTCTCACCACATCAAAGCAAGTAGACGTTATTCATCTGTTATTTCTTTCTAATCCTCTCCGTCAGCTTACGCGCTTTTCCTGGCTGCAGTCACATATCGTATCTCACATCTCAGTCTGTGAATGAAAGGGCGATGAGGCTGATCGAGGATAAAGTCTTCGCCGTTGATCAATCCTTTTGTGGTGCGGCACGCATTCCACTTCCTTTCAGAAGTGGTTTGTTGACTGCGATGTGCCCTATGCAATGATTTGAGGTGGCCGCCGATGTACAGATCAGTGTTCTTATCCTCCCAAACAAATCTGGTACCAATTTACCGTCCCCGGAAGGGTAGAAGGCTTGGTTGGCCTGGGCGGGAGTCGACCCGGGTCTGAACCCAGCACCGCGCAAGTGGTGAGCGCGCCACTTATCACTACACCACCCTCGCCTCGCACACTCGTAATAACCGCGATGATAAGATACGTGACAATCTGAAGATCAAATTCAATCCGTTCTACATTGGAAACCCTTGGAACCCTCATTCTATTGCTCTGAATCGGCTACCGCCTTCCGTCCCGCTTCCCGAACTTTTATAGGTCGTTTTCGACAGCGTACCTGGTGTTTTTCACAATGCGCTCTATCTGTGTGTTGAATTTGTTTCACACAGTTGATCTGAAGAGGGGCTTAGGCCCGAAGCGACATCAATAAAAGTTTTGAAGGGTTTTCATTTCATATTTAGGCATCATCCGAAATAATGAAGCTCAGGGAACCATCGAAAAAAAATTTTTAAATTTCTGAGTTATGGGGATCGTGAACAGGTGCTGGCGTTTTGCATAGCATTTCAGTGATTCGGAAAAATTTAGTAGAATTTCCAAAACCAGGGGCGTATATCTTGGGTTCGTCCTTTCAGCTTGTTTTCTGCTGTTTTCATCGTAAACGTTCTCTTTACCACCCCCTTGTTCATATTTGATGCCCTGCTCTCATTTCGCCATGTAAGCTAGCCTTTCAATTGAATACACTATCATTTCAATGATGATACCCTGAATAAACTTGACACAGGACGTTAATCCAAGTGAATCATCTCTACAAATTTACCAAAATGAGCTATTGTGAACTATCTAAAACAGACTTTTCAGGACCTCAGATGACTCACATTTGCGTTAAATGTCTGACTCATCGCCGTAAGTGCTGCGGTAAATTAATATGCGAATGAAGTGGTATTAGGGTACCGGTAGCCAAGAGCGACCTCGTACGAAAATTTTAATGACCGAGATCGCGGGGTGGACACCAGGGTGATGAATGGAATAGAGCAGCATATGATTCTTACTTGTTGTGTTTTGCTCTTTGTTCGGAATTGGGCTTTGGCCGGGACAGGTGAATTACGGTCAGCAAGGGATTAAGGCAAGGAAAAGAAGATGCCCGCATGATGAAGGCGAAGTGGGAGATCACCATGAAGCTCTGATTCAGTTTAGCCTGGACGAAAGGCCTCCTAATATGCATAGATCATTCTCATGGTATCGTCCCTTGATAATCTCAAGCTTATATAAGCTGCTGGAGCAGTTGGACGTTCAAACGCGAGGCAGGCAGTTGAGGATCAACGCCATCTCGCAGGACGGCAGTCGTTCGAAGGGGCGAAATCTTTGAGGAGAATTCATTCCCGAGCAATTGCGGGATGTTCTTTCTGAATTTGGGTTTTTTGGCAAATTTTGTTTTTCAGTGGTTTTTGGAGGGCGGAGGACGCAGAAGGTAGGAAAACGCTGAAGAAAAAGCACATTGAGAAATTTCATTTTCAGTTATTAATCCAAGAGGGTTTTTGTATATCAATCAATATCTGGTAACTGGATTCCACCGGGAATGTAATCGGTCCAATATGAACTCCTATTCGTTGCGAAATCCATCAGTTCTATAGATTATTGCAGAACGGCCCCTGAGCCTTTAGTATTCCGAATTTCACAGCTGAGCTCACTGAACGGAGAGGCTGTGCACCCGATTCTAGCACACAAAAAAGCTCAATCGATATCAATCAGCTGCTTATTATTCTCAGGAGTTCCTGCTTCATTTTGATGAATTACTCTCTAACTTCGTTCTAATTCATCCACCATGGCCACGGCTGACCCGCAACTAACCACCACTGACGTATCACACACCAAGGACTTTTGCGTGCTTTCAGTCCACTAGTTGCACCCATTTATAAGCTTGCCCTTTCCGAGCGGGTATAATCAAGTGCTTACTCAGAACGTGCTGCACTTATTCCGTTTCGACATAAATTGGGCACGCGTGATGAATGGAAAGCGAATGCGCGGACTTTTTCAACAAATATGCAATATAAAAAAGCTTCAGGTTAACAATGGTCATTGAAACCCAAGAATAAGCCTTTGTTCCCTTGGGTGTAGGAGATAATTGAGCTGAGAACATACAAAATTATTTGGAGAGCAGCGAGCGTGCGAGAGGGCAGGACCTTGACTTCCCATAAAAAGGAGATTTAGGATCACGCGATTTAACAGGCCACTATTACGCTGAGAGCGAGGTACAGCTTGGTGAAAGAATCCTTTCAGCGACCGTATTCAGTCGATAAGCGTTCATACTTTCCGTCAGCCTACGCCAGTGCCAGCGACTAGGAAAGTACAGATATCGATCTAGCATGCGACAGCATACGCGAGCATTTTCGCAATTTGAGTTTGAGCAAAAACTGCTCGCGAAAACGCTGCTGTACGCTAGCGTACCTCAGATAAATGTCCATAGTTTCCTGGTCGCTGGTGGACGATGCTATCCTGAGCTGGTCAGGTCGCATATCGCAAGTCGCGCGACGACTCCAAAGTTACATTACTGTATTCATGGCTTATCACTGAAACCTGATATGGGTTAGTTTACGGCGTCCTCGACGAATATTTCATTAGCGGACCCCGCCCCTCGTAATTCCTGTGACAGTCTACCAGCCATGGGACAATAAAACTTTTTATCACTTCAGGCTGTACTCATGGTCGCCAACGAAATCAATCGGTAGGCGCAATTTTGCAACCAATTTCCACAGAAATGCATTCCTTTAACAATAAACTTACATTGAAACGAGTTCTTGGTTTCGGAACAGGCGGCTTGATCGACATTGTCACACCGAGAGCAGTTCACGACACGTCGAGAAAAACGATTTTCACGCAACGGGCAATGTCTAACTGCGCATGTGACACAGCGGAATCTTAAAGATATTGATTCAGTACGGAAAATCATAATACAGTTTGCAAACGGTGCCGAGGAAGAAGATCGAACAGAAATAACACTGAATGAATGCTTTCACGATACAAAT